TCCTATTCCTTGCTTGGCTGTTGTATTCTCTAGTGAGTTTTGAAAAACTCGTTTATGCCAAACGAATCGAGCACTCGAATGATATTGATTGGAAACGGGTTATATCAAGAGAATAAAGGCACGCAGCTTTGAAAATGGATAAGGAAGATGCAAGTGTTTATATTTTTGAATTGCTCGTAAATGTTATTACTTTCATTTACTCAACAGGCAAGTAATGATACTATGTGCAGTGATGGATCGTGACATCGGTCACGAGGTCGCCATGGTTGTTTTTACAGGAGTTCGCCCTGGTTTTGACATCTTTCGTAAGTCGCCTAACTGTCTGGTAAAAACTTCGGGCGTTTTTCCTTTCAGCCAGCATTCCTTTCATTGCCTTATTGCAAAACAAAAAACTCTGCGTCAGATGAAAGATGCAATCTTCCATTTCATGCCAAATGTTTTGATGATTATCACAAGCTAACATAAACATTTATTATTTATTTATTACATATTTAATTACTCGGCCGCTGTGGTGTAGTGGTAAGCAGTGCGCGCTTTCACTCCTCAGCACCTGGGTTCAAGCCCAGGTGTAAGGAACATCGAAAAAAATAGAAAACATATTTTTTTTAACGGCGGTCGTCCCTCGGCAGGCAATGACAAACCTCCGAGTGTATTTCTGCCATGAAAAACAGCTTCTCATAAAAATACAATCGCCGTTCCGAGTCGGCGTAAAACTATAGGTCCCTGCGCTTTGTGTGACAACATCAAGGCGCACGCAACAAGTCGGAGGAGAAGCTCGTCCAAACACTAACATATGTGTAAGCGCCAATCTATTATTATTATTAATTACTCACCTATTAGATATAGTTTAGGTTTGAATGGCCTAAACGGAGTGGAGTGTTGTTCAAACTTGTTTAGTATATTGTCTCGCCCAAGGTAATAGTAGTGGTTTCTTCCAATGTTGCGTTTTCGCAACGGCCCACCCTAGGAAGCCCAATGCGACTACAGTTCTTTTGATCGCTTTTACATCGTTCTACTAAAAAAAATAGTTTGCCTCTGGTATAAATGTGGTGATAAATAATAGATTTTGTTCGAGTTGCACTAGAAGTTTCCTGATTTTCTCGATTTTAGCAAGTAAACTGGTCATTTAAACCGTTACTTCTGTTTTGAATGACTATTTATTGATATTTACACATAAAAGTATTATTAATGACACGTATTAACCGCGCTTGGCAGTGCCGCTGCTTTGTGGCGGCCACAATTGCTTGTATCCAAAATGTCCCTGTCTCAAAAGATCATATACCAATCGAAAGCATAAAACCTATAGAATGTGTTAAACAGATGAGTAGAAATTACTAATATTACCTACCAGTTCATACCTGCCAACCCGAGAGGAGGTACTTTAGATTGGTATATAATTTGTTCATTAAACAAATGAGTATAAAATTAAAATAATAATAATAATTTTTGAATATTTGATTAAAAATATCCTGGCCAGGATTTATTCAGCCAACCCACTCGCAAAATATTTATTAACTCGTTAAATTTCATAGGAAAACGATTCCATCCATTAAACAGATGAGTGAGACTATAAGGAAAGCTAGAAACACTGTAGGTGTTCGCAACTTCGTAAGACATCATTATACATATTTCAGTTTTTCAATTCATACATAAACAATATCAAATATGCCATACACTCGTTATTCAAATCAATCACTTGAAAATGTGATTCCCTCACTCACTTGACTTTTTTATTTCAAAGCTAATGCATGTTGTGTTTACAGATCACTGAGTGGTTGAGTGTATAAGAAAAGAAAACGAGTGACTTAATAAGCGGTGTAATTCCATCCATTCTGCTCTCTGGTATGTATGTATATTATTGATTTATTGTAAATTATTATGTAAAATATATTATATTAATATTTTATAGTTTAGGTTCTTCGTCAGAGTCGGGTATTGGCATGAAATAATCGTTTTTGTTTAATAATTGTTGGGTAAGTTTAGTGCATGGTGAGACAGTAGATATGTTGTCAAGTATCATTTTAGTTTGCTGGGATATGTGATGGGGTGAATTTTGCTGTTGGTTGTAGTTTATGTTTTGATTGAGTGATTTTGTTGTTGTTTTGTTAGTATTATTGTTAAAGCTATTGCTTTGGAGTGGTTTTTGCGTTTTTTGTAGTTTTGGTAGATTCGTTCTTGTTGGTGGAGATGTAGCCGGACGTTTAGCCATGGACGTACTTGTTTGGGTTGGTGATGATGGTGCTTTGTTGATGGGTGTTGATTTACCTTTTATGGTAACGTTTGCATACGTGCTTTTGGAGTTTGCATTTGGAGTGTTAGTTTCGTTGTATTTGCGCCGTGCTTCTCCCATGGAGCATTTAGCGATGGTTTTAATTTTTAGTATTTCCTGAGTCTGCTTAAATCTTGGACAGTCTTTATCTGAGGAGGCGTGATCGCTGCCACAGTTTGCACATTGCTTACGTGTGCAGTCAGCTGGAGAATGGGGTGAAAGATGGCAGCCCTCGCATGTGGCAGGACTGGTGCAGCGTGTTTTGGTATGCCCTAGTAGCTGGCAACTTTTGCAACGCATGGGTGTTGGATAATATGGCGAAACTTTGACTTTATACCAAGCAATATCAATGACTTTGGGTAGGTGATAGTGGGAATAATTTTTCCCTCAGTCATGCGAGTGTATTTGTGTGGCTTTTTAGTTCCTGCATGATTTCTTCCTCGTTTACATAGTTTAGGCAAGGAGCATAGATTTCTCCTTTTACCGTGTTTAAATCGTCTTGGTATTTTACCGTGACTTGACAAAGATTAGCAATCGTTTTTAGTTTTAAGAATTTCTCTGCTATTCTTGAGTTGCGTGTTAGTATAAGTAGTGAACCGTCTTTGAGTTGTTTTATGTGTTCTATTTGAGTTGATATTCCGTCTATTGCTCTTTTTATTACGAATGGGCTTAGTTTTTGAAGTTCATTGTTGGCTGCTGTAATTGTTATGTATTTGGGTTGGTTAAGTGGTGTTTGTTTGTGCGTAAGTGTGGGAAATGAGTAATCGATGTTATAGTCGTCAAATTGGCTTAGCATTGCGAATCTGTTTGTTGATTTGTCAGGTGGCTCTGGTTGTGTTGGCATTTTGTTGTTATGTTGTAGCGGTTCCTTGTTTACGAAGTGGTTGTTATAGCCTGATGCTCCACTAAAGTGCACAAAAGCGAAAATATGACAACGGGTTATTTAGTATTGTTATTACGCGAGCTAAGAACACTTTTATGAATACACGTCCGAATAGTTTGAGAGTTAGTCGATGACTGTAATTCTTATTTAATTTGTGAACTTGGCTGTCGACTTATTTACATATAATTTCATCTTTATTTCGATGCGTGCTTATTTTGACAATTTACACAAAATTAAAATAAATGTTTTTATTTTCGAGCTGAAAGACTAATAAAGGGAAACACGGAACTTAAGAATAATAAGTTTTATGAGAAAAAAATATTTACACTTTTCTAAGAAAAGTAGAAAAAACTGGCGAATGCGAAAGCGAATGCGAATGTTAAAATTTATGCGAATATTCGCAACAACCCTGCTACATACTATATAGGTATATTTTTTTATGGCAGACAATATCGAGGATACATAGCGTTAAGAAAATTAATAAAACACTTATCACTGCCAGATTTATTTATTTTTAACGTCGACTTGCAATGTCATATGTATGTAGTTACATAAATATATTAATAAAACAAGAACTTAATGTTTTAACAGTAAACGCACACATGCACATGTAATTCTATCATACAAAAAGGGTTGTAGTGTGCGATTCATCGGTCAATTATTTTTTTGATTAATCATGACCCTGATTAATTAAAAATTTGCATTAAGCTGATTCTGATTAATCAAATTGTGAGTAATTATTGTTTAATAAAAAAAAAAAACAAATAATTGAAATCTTAGCAAGTGAAGAGTTTGTTAATTTTTTGAATTAATAACACAGGTCAACAACGTTTTGTTCTAGGAAAGTGTAGGGTCATTTTCGAAGTAATTTTTTGCGTAGAATCCGAATCCGGGGTTTAAATTGCTCTATCACGTCAAGACTTTGAGATATCCTAACCTAAAAGTGCAAAAAACGCTGTTTTTGCCCATTTTTGAGGTTATGTAGCTACGCAGATTTTGCTCTTCATAAAAAAGTAAACGTGGTATTTTAAAGTATAAGTCTTCCTCTTTTAAATGCCGTTGAGTTTGCTTAAATATCTTTATTTTTCACTGAGATAACGCATTTTGAAGTTTCCATGTTTGTGAATTTTTCGATATTCGAAAATCCATTGAGATAACATGAGACGTGATACGGTCGATTACATACTTACTTCAAAATGCGATATCTCAGTGAAAAATTAAGATATTTGAGCAAACTCAACGGCATTTAAAAGAGGAAGACTTATACTTTAAAATACCACATCTACTTTTTTATGAAGAGCAAAATCTTCGTAGCTACATAACCTCAAAAATGGGCAAAAACAGCGTTTTTTGCACTTTTAGGTTAGGATATCTCAAAGTCCTGACGTGATAGAGCAATTTAAACCCCGGATTCGGATTCTACGCTAAAAATTACTTCGGAAATGACACTACACTTTTATAGAACATTCCGAACCCATTTTTTTGCAGACCTGTGTAATTAGGCTTCAATTAATCAGCTTTTTTGATTAATGATGAAGAGGACAATGTAATAGTCTCAGTTGTAGTCGGACTTTTTTCCTGTGCCGTCAAGTATAATAAGCAGCGCCGTAAGTAAATATATTTACTTTCCTT